AATCGTAGAAGATGACTATATCTTCTAGAGTGCAAAATCTGAACCAGATCGTATAATTATTACAGCCAGAATCACGAAAACAATATCACTCTTTCTCGCTCTGTCTCACTCTAACACACAGGTTTCATGGTCGGTTTTGCCAATTGCAAAATATGAGTTCAAGGATCTCAGAACCTATAAAAGCCAGAGCAACCAAATTTGGTATCCACACTCCTGTGATATCGGACCTTGACCGTTTCCTGTCCAAATTTCGCCACACCCCCTTCCGCCCCCGCAAAGGACGAAAATCTGAGGCAACCACAAATCTCAGAGACTATTAAGGCTAGAGTAACCAAATTTGGTACACACACTCCTTTAAGATGTCACTATAAAACGTATATCTCAGAATTTCGCCCCACCCCCATCCGCCCCCACAAAAGACGAAAATCTGTTGCATCCACAATATTGCAGATTTGAGAAAACTAAAAACGCAGAATCAAAGACAATGACCATATCTATTAGATTGCTGAATCTGGATCAGATCAGATCATTTTTATAGCCAAAAGGAACAAATCAATTTGCAGTGGCTACGCAGCGCCCGACGTCACGCTCAGACTGATTTTCTGTCTCTCTCGCACGCACTCTTTGTCGTGTCGTTAAATATTAGCGCCATCTGCCGGAGGAGAGCCATACTGACTTAGTATCGGGTATAACCGTAGAGTTGCGGTGTCCGCAGCAACTCACAACGTTCCCCCTCGTTTTTTACTAGAGCTGTTTGTCGGTCGTTGACCTCACACTTTTAAATTAGTCACAGGCCTTCTGCCTTTACAGTACGCTTGGTAAAACGAATAGTATGTCCAACTTCTCCCTGAAGCCGATGTGCTGGGACATGTGTACCTATATTGCGCTATATTATTATCTTTCTATTTAAGGAAAAATCATTAGTTTATATTGCACTATAAAATATCGTATATACTTATAACTATTTATACTTATCGTATTTATTTATCTAAATATTCCCTAGTAATAGTAGCTATATCTCTTGTGACGCTTTTCGTTCCTACTTTTGTCCATTTAGCCTTGTCTTGGAGTTCTCTGTTAGTGTTTTTTTCTTGTAACATGAGGGTATCTGAATATAGTTTATAATAAAATGATTGTTAAGATGAATATGTGCTAGACGTTACCGTATTTGGGGGAACCATGCCGCTCGGGAGCGAAATAGGATGACCAATAACGGACACTCCAGGGATCCTGATATTATTATTGGCCTTTTCAGGATCATGATAGGGTGGGCGTGGCACGACTCCGTGCCAGCAAAACAGAGATCTCCGACGCTGTAGTAGATTCCTACTTCTGCTCTATACTATCTTTGCCCAACTATACTTTCCGTAACCCTAACGAGCCTTTCCTTGTCTGTCCCCCTCCCATTCCCAAAAAGAGTACGCGAGTTTTATTAAAATAATAGCAGCAGGAACGAAGCAACCTAACTGGAGGGTTACCCCAAAGAACCCATCCCTATTTCCGACCAGAGACCAGCCGTGGAAGCGAGCGCGTACTCCTTCTCAGTTAGCCGACCACCAGCTTCTTCGTGCGAAGATTCTCTTCGTTACTCGTTACAAAAGTCACAACAATGTTGTATGATATTTAAGCAAAAGGCGGAGAATGGAGCAAGAAAAAACACAACCGGATTAAGCAAGAGCTAGAAGCGAAAAAAAAACGAGGCTATCTCCCTGGCATAAGAGAAGTTGAATCTCTCCACCTTTAATCCCACGCCTTTTACATCATTAGATGTGAGGTCAGGGGCCAGCCGTGAAACAAAAACATGTCGTTTTGGTGGGACTCCCACCAGTGGTTTAGTCACCACAGGCCTAGTACCTGTGGTGGCAATATCCGAAGGTCTGGAACGTCTATTAACTGGTGGGATCGGGATAGACGGGACAACTAGTGAACTTGCGGACACCACGGACACGGACGCTGCAGACGTACTTGGCTGCACATTCTCCGAGGCGATGAATTCGGCTACCGAATCTGCATCGCCAGCAGCTGTCGTTGCCCTTGGAGTGGCAAACGAGATCAACTGCTGCACCCTTGAGTGGTCGGAGTCAGTTTTTCGGCGGCGCACTGCTGAGTGACGGTTGCCACTTGCAGATCCTGCGGAATGACCTTTTTACGCCTCGGAGACTCATTCAGCAGTTGCAGACTCCATGGCTAGGAGTCGATCGTACTGTTTTTTAAAGCCAAAGGTCAGCTCCTTAAAGCCCTTCCGCGTCTGCCTCATAAATATGGCCATGTCAGTCTCAACCGCACGACATGCCTCACACTGTAGTGCAAGCCATTACATTTTGATATGGCATCACACACGAGGCCCGTAAACCCAGCACATTTTGCGTGCACTATGTTATCGCAGAGCCAGCAGGGGATACTCGGCTGATCATGGGTGATTTATACACATACACATACAACAGAAAACTCCATAATACAAAATTTGAACCAAATTAAAATGAAATAATATCTCAAAAGAAATGGCTATCAAGCCTAACGCTTATAGGAGGAGAGAAGAACTGTTCCAGCAGCAGCCAATGAGCGAGAGAGAGCTAGTAATGCAATGTAATGCGTACTCATGGCAACAACACAGACGTGACAAGCCAACGCCGAAAAATTAGAAGTTAAATAAACAATGTTTTAGCAAAAATCAAAAGGCATGCACTGGCGGAATTGAATAGATTTCGAGATTGTAGGCTGGTTAGGAAGTTAATTAAAGTTTATTTATGAAAACACCGGATGTTTATGCACACCAAAGGAAAATGTGCGGAGCGCAAAACAAAAACGCGTCTGATCTACGAAGGAGAACGAACGAAAATGGGATTGAAGACTTAAGACACAGTTTGGCAAGCACCTATCGGATCTCATTTGCTCGCGTGGATCTACATTCTAGTGTAGCTATAGAGGTTCACGGTTTTTGTGATGCCAGCTTAGAAGCGTATTTTTCGTTTCCAGGGAAGCCCAATCGACGAACCACGTTTGTGCTCAAAGTTTCGAGTGGCGCCACTAAATAAATTATTGATTCCTAAGCTGGAATTAAGTGGAGCCTATTTTCTTGTGAAAATTGTGCAGAATGTAAAGGAGATGGGGATTTTTGAAGGTCAGTTTTAATTCTGGTCGGATTCGTCAACAGCATCATCTAGAAGGCATCAATATAGAAGTTGACGGCAGTTATGGATTGGCGCTATGTTTCCAAATCTTTAAATCCTGCTGATATTCTCTCGAGAGGCCTTATCCAGTCAGAGCTGTGGTTTTTCGTAGGCTCTAAGAATGAGTGGCCTATATTTCCGATTTCCTAAAGAGCGACTTTAAGTATTGATGATTGCGTCTCAATATATATGTAAATCTCACGTCCGAATGCAAGTTTGCAACCTCATTCCATGGCATGCAGCGCATATTCGCATACATACAAAAATGTATACATGGTCTAAGGCATACTGGAATCACCGTTTCTGATATTCGGCAAGGAAAAGATCTTCTGATTCGACACATTTAGCAAATTTGCAATGGATTACTTAGGTCGTCTTGGCAACTCATCAATTGGATTTGGTGCTGATACATTCGCTTATTTTAGCAAAGGGACATCCTATAACCTTTGCGCTGTTCAGATATTATCACGAAAGGAACCTCCATGGCTGACCTAGCGCCCTGCTTGCCAAAATTCGGCTGGAACATTTGCCTATTGGAGGCATCAAAGAAGTGTCAAGGGTAGTTAGAAAGTGTGTGCGATGCTTAAGAACTGTGGTCCGCGAATGGTTGAGCACATCATGGGAGACCTACCTATTGAACGTTTAAAATGATCTCAAGCCTTTGAAGTCACTGGTGTGGATTATTGTGGCCTCATTTCCTACGGATCAGAAATTCGCACAAGGTCTCTGATCAAGTGATACATCAGTGTATTCATCTACTTCACCTCTAAGCTTGGAGCTTGAAAAGGACTTGACCGCCGCGTAGTTTCTAGGCGCATTAAAGCATTTTACTTCCACTCGAGGAACTACAAGACAATTTGGTCAGACAATGCGACAAATTTCGTTGGCGCCAAAATCGAACTTCTGGACCTACAAAAGCTTTGTTTGAGCGACTCGTATGTGAAGTTAGTCCATGAACACTGCTTGGCTGACTCGATCGACTGGCGTTTGATCCCACCGCGCTCTCTGCATTTTGGCGGATTGTGGGAGCGGCCGTGAATATTAAAAATATCCATCTGTTCTTAGCTTTGAGGAGCTGCGTACTCTGATGCCAGATCACGGCAATTGTTAATTCTCATCATTTGCTCTCGCATTCACAAAATCGTGATGACTTAGATGTTTTGATTACTGCTCATCTGCTTCTATACGGCCCCCATGGGTCAATTCTCAAGCCTGACCTAATGAAGCACAATTACAATCGTCTGGATGGCTGGCAGCGGGTCACTCAACTGCAACAAGTCTTCTGGAGCCACACTCAAAACCTCTGCAAGAACGATAACGTGCTAGTCGAGGATGAAAATCTTTCTCCAATCCTTTGGCCTCTGTCTAGAGTGGTCGATGTCACCAAGGGCAAGGACGGAGTGTGTCGCATCGCTGACTTGAAGACGTCCTTAGGAAGGTGGGCCGTCACTCGGCTGTATTTGCTGCCCCTTAAGGAATCTGTTGAAGCACTATCTCCCAACGGGGGGAGTATGATCGGGCCAGCCGCCAGCTGACGTTTGTCAGCGCTGCTGCGCTCTCTCATTTAAAGGGCGTTCTGCAGCCGCCGCTTCGGCTTTTGCTTTGATCTGCCGTCGTCGCCCAAATTTAGTTCTATGCTTATCTCTCACCGTACTGGTTGCATTTCGATATCGAGTATCTGGCCGGTCAAAACAGCAAGAAATCGGCTTCAGCTATGCCGCCGGTATAAATAAAATTTACACGTTCAACCATAATCGTTTTATTTAAATTTGAAATAAATTGTTGCCAAAAACACCTCAAACACCCCTAAAATTGATAATTTTTGATTACCTGTAAATAATTACACTTTCTGGTAGACAGCCATTTCGTTTTTTGTAACTATTAAGCGCTGCTTCAAACGATGAAGTTAATCCATTAACAATTTCCTCACTCTTTGTTTGTATCACAGCCTTGCTATACCATTGTGTATATGAAGCATTAAGAGACGCTACAAAAGCTGAAAAATATAAATAAGCTGTATTTAGAACACGAATTGAGAGTATTATATTTTGATAAAATGATTTAAACTGATTCACACTGGATGGGGAAGAGTAAGTGAGAGACAGAAAGAGAGAGACAATATTTCATATATTAAAACAATGCAGAGTTTTGCAATATCGTAACTCAAGCTCAAAACCAACTTTTTTGTACTGTAACGCCAGGGTTATATATTTAAACCGTACGTTCGATTTTTTTTAATTTGTATTAAAAATTTGACTTATTTATTATTGTTAAAATGTTGTCTTAGGAACGTAACGTAACGCCAGAACTGAAATGACCATATATGAGTTTATTAGCTATATCTCTATCTAGCTTTGAAATCGGACTTTCATGCCTTTCTTACTACTAAACAATTAAATATGGAAAGTAAAAGTAATTGTTCTTACTTAAAACATTATCAATTGCTTAAATATAATATTTTCGAAATAAACTTATTGCTGTTATTTATTTATTATTTTAAGCCCTTTCTTTGTAGAGTTTGTGGGAGTTCTACCTTACAGCATTAAAACCATCGATATTCTCGTCCCATGCATAATCAAACTGTAATTGTCGTTGGGGCCACAAATGTTAACAATTATTTCTTATTAGTTTATAAAAATTAGTTTAAAGTATTTTTTAAGGATCATGTGTATAACTGAACCTTTTCCCTCAGTCATACTTTCTATGCATCAAAATGTAGTTTTGAATCTGCTTGTTCAGTCGCAAAAATATGCATAAGTAGTATTACGAAATACACATGACACTATTATTGAATTAATAAAGGTCACCCATTCAAACATATCACCTCACGACACAGCACTATAGCTGGGTCAAAGAAAACCGCAACTGCAGCGACAGAGCTGCTGACAGAGCGATCGTTTCGCAGAGGAAAAAGCTACTAGTGCACTTGCTGGCCAACACAATTTCAGAATTACACAACAGACAATAAAAGTAGATTAGGTCCATACAACTGATACATTAACTCATATTTTATTTACCCCGTTCTTACAGACGTGCAATACTTTTGTACCTTTTGTTACCTATAAATAGAGTTAAGTGTATTGAATAAAGTCAGTATCAGAAACAGTATCACAAGTGCCTGTCACTCATGAGGCACTCAGAGGCTGTCGCCGATTCTTCAGGACCTTAATTGCGTAACGTAGGATTCCCCCTTCGAAGTCCAAGATGTTCAAGTGCTAGTTGCCACTACTAATCTGTAGACGGTTTATGTACCGAATGCAACCCAGCTTCCTGCACAAACATTTAAATTTGGTGACCCCGACCTTTTTGCATCATTTCCAGCTGTCAAACAAGCTACAGCGAAAGAATTCCATATGGACATCAGACTGAAGAAGTCAACAGGACATCTTCTATAGAAATTGGCACCAGGCCATACACTTAAGGTAGCAGCTAATAAGTATCAACTTTGATCGTTCGTTCAAAACTGTTAACCAGGTCACATTGAAAGGTTTCGATCTGGACATCATACAGACGAAAACACCAGAATGTCGCCAATAAAAAATGGCACCAGGCCACACACTTATTGTAGCATCTCCAACAATATGGATTACCTTGGCAAATCTAAAATATTCAGATTATCAGCCAACAGAAAGACATCTAAGTCGATTAAGACTAACGTTAGTCTTTGTTCGTGCGCTCTTTAAACTGGAAACAGCACAAATCCCTCCATCCAGTACGTCATTTGCACTATTACTGTTTTGACCAACAACGATTGCGATTCGGGGCGTATCCAGCTGCACAGCAAATAAAACACTCCCAACGGTCCAAAAACTTATAAGTATAAAATGATAGAATGCAGAAAGAAGCTGTCGCTACAATGGCAATGGATGTGCAGCAAGAAATTAGCGAGGAAGCAAAGAGCTTCTTATTACGGATTACGGATTACGGATGAATATGTACATTTCCGTGAAGACTTGCGTACAACATACATCTACATGTGAATGAAGATGTGATACCTGGCGTTAACAAAACAATCACAATGGCATCATGTGTCATCAGCCAACAATTCAGCCATTGAAAGAATGCAAAGAACTTTGTAGGTGCAAATAACCAACTCAAAAATGTTTCGGCATGCATTTCAATATTTCGACACCTTCAACATATGTATAACACCCTACAAACAGGAAACTTTCTAATGAAAAATTCTTGGAAACGCAGATAATAGCAAATGTAGCAAGCAATCTTTTTGGTGTTCACGACTCAAAATACGGTGAGGAAATGACCAAAGTATTTGAAAAAGTGAAAACCAATGAAGACTTTCTATTAATTTTGCTCCAAAATCAGACATCAATTGTCGACGCTACAGTAAACATAGTCAGGAAAGACAAAGTATCCACGGATAATTGTATAAAAATGTTGGAACAGCAAGTGACAACGATCAGTCGAGAGAGAGGATCATATCACAGCGATCATCTTACTCAAGCATATTTAGGATTAACAACACAACTAACCCTGCTCACAACAAGTCTACAACGACATATCTGATGTGCGAATCTATATTCATCATCGGAAAATAAACCCCACCACTAGACCAAATACGGGATCATTTGCCACCCGATCAAATGCTGCCTTTCGAAGCTGTCTTAAAATGCAAAACGAGGAATACATCTGTTTTAAACATTGACAATCGCTGTGAGTTTTAATTGGTTAACAATAAAACCGTAACACTATGTAAGGTAACACATACGAAGGTTGACATGGTGTGGCCTAAGACTCAGCATCCAAACAAATGGATCTTCGAAACGCATTCTACAATGAAACTTTAAGCAGTATGCAACGGTGTTGCGTCAACCATAACACTGGAAGGAACGGGGCTACTTTCACTGTTTCACTGGATGTACTGCTCGCAACACTGAAGTAAGCATCAGCACCTTCAGCACTACAATCAGCGCGGTAAAATCAACCTACACTCGTTTTGGTGACATCAGCCTATCGGAGGCATTACCCTCGTCACCATTGCTGCAACAGAAGAACAAGACATCAGACTATCTTCAAGAACTTAATGATCTACGCCAGCAATTATTTTATTTTATTTTCAATCATTACACCATTTCACCACACAATGACAATTCTATTGATTATTGACTACATTTTCTGGAAGAAGTATCAACTATAGAAACCAAAACCATCAAATCACAAACCAGTCAGATCTTGGACTTGGAAGACGGTTGAACACCAGTAGTGTTGGGTAAACATTGCTCATTCTGGTGAACATGTTAACTTGTTCTTTTTTAGTAAGTGAGTCAACTCACACATATTGCTCACTTGTTCACTTAGATTGCTAAGTTGCTCACTTGCTCACTTTCTCACTGTTCACCACTCACTAAGCACCACAGATTTTGAAACGAATAAAATACGTAACATTTCAACTTTAATCAAAAATGTATTACTAAAAAAAAATTTTGGGATCATCGGAATCCTGGGAATGAGAACTTCCACCTTTGAATTTTCCTTTGAGTATCGTCGCGTAAATCAAATTGTTCATCAATTTCCTTACCACCTTACCAAAAGCGTACCTTTGCACTGTTTTGGTTTATGTTGGTTTATGTGCGGTAGTAAGCCTGGGAAATCCAGGGAGTCTAAAAATTCGGATCGATAGTCGGTTTCTTCATCTTCATTTGTAGCATAGAGGGTCATGCTATGGTGCTCGGGCATATCGCATGCAATAACGTTGGGTCAATTAGAGATTCAGGTCATAGCATAGTTTGGTTGGATACATGCAAGCTCGACTTAAGGAACAGCTGAGCTACGCTTTCGCAAGTGCTGTGCAGCGCATCGCAGAGGAGCTTTCAGAGCGTTTAGATCTTTTAGCACAAGTTCGATTTCTTTTTTGGACATTTGAATCGATGCAGCAGATGATTGGCTCCGCCTCGGTAACAAATATATTTTTACAAAAAAAAAAAAACGACCACATGCAAGAAACGAAACTTTAAAAATTCCGTGCTGTGCGTGCTTCTCGAAAATAAGCCGAAACTTATAACCGTGCGCCGAGTGCGCATAGCTAAAGTGCTTATCTGCCACGCCTCGCCACACATTTTTTTGCAAAACTATGCGTCACACACTCTGCCAGAAAAGAATAACACTCGTGTTTTCGTGGAAAAGTTGGAAAAACGGTGGGTTCAAGTGCCCTGTAAGGAAGAATTCTTTTTTTTCTTAGCCCTCGTGGTTTTGTTTCTGTTTCGCCAGTGGTCAGTGGCCACGATCGGTAGCCCCCCCAGCTTCTCCAAAGTTCTGCGCCCACACAATACTCCCACCCTTGACGGGAGTATTTTCGTGAGTCCACCTTGGTGTGGGGCCAATTTTTTTCCTTTGGGAAATCGCTGAAAAAATTCCTCCTGCGCCTTGCAGTTGCGGTGCATAAAGGTCATAAAGATCACCCCCGTGTGCACCACTAACTCGCTTTGCAAGTTGCCAGTTGCTAAGAGAGCGCAAAGCTGGCGGTAAAAACATTCGGAGCCTTCCGTTCTCTTAGTCGTTAACGCATTGGGGCTTAAACAACAAGTACACTGACCAAAAAACAACAAATTTAATTTAATTTCGTTTTGGATCATCATTGCGGATCGTTGGTCGGACATGCTGTTTATAATTTTTTTGATTTTTATTTTTCTTTATATATATTAATTTTATATTCTTATTTCTTATATTCCAAATCAAATTCATCTACCGAATCGTTTATCCACATTTGACAATTCCATTAATTTTGTTTCTTCTCATTGATTTGCCTACTGCTCGAAATTAAATAATTTTCTTATATTTGGTAGGAAAACTTGTGTTTGCTAGTTTTTTCATGATTATGTGGTGCAATGCCTAGTTTATATTAAAGCTATATTAGCAATGTATATAGATAGACTTCATTTCCTAGTGACATGGTGACGTAATGGGGTAGGGTGAGAGTTTTAGGGATTTTCAGAACATTCTCAGAGCTGGAAATCATGGAAGGGTGGGTAAATTTTTTTG